AGCCCTTTGATTCATTCATTCTTTGGGCCGGTATCTACTGCTTGCCTTGCTGCACCTTGCCACGGGTGGGCTCCCTTCATGTATCTCCCAGGATCATCTGACAAGAGCCACAGTCAGAGGCTTTCACAGTGTGTGGGGACAGCCAACACGCTATGTTTGTTTTGAAGAGTCAAAACCATCTTTCTAGACCACAGGTATGAAAAATATGAAGGCTGAGTTCAAAATCAGCAATTGTTGAGCCTTGTCTGAGCTTCTGAAACTTTTTTTAAAAGATTTTATTTATTTATTTATTTGACAGAGACAGCAAGAGAGGGAACACAAGCAGGGGAAGTGGGAGAGGGAGAAACAGGCTTCTTGCTGAGCTGAGCAGGGAGCCCGATGTGAAGGTCGATCCCAGGACCCTGGGATCATGACCTGAGCCGAAGGCAGACGCTTAAGGACTGAGCCATCCAGGTGCCCCTGAGCTTCTCGAGCTTTAAAGTTGCTCAGGGGAGCTCATGAGAACTGCCCAGATTGGCCCTAACCTCAGTGATTCCAAGTTGGCAAAGAATGAGGTTCACAAACCTGTGGTTTTAAAAACAGGAACCGGTGTGATTTTGATGGAGGCAAGGGATAGGCTGAACCCCAGAATTTTAGAAACACGTTTGAGAGGGCTTGTTTTGGGTTATGCAGGTCAGTTACCTGGGAGAATTCTTCCCCATCATACACATCTCCCCATTTCCACCCTTTCTGGCCTGGTGAGCCTCTTTTACTTAGGAGAATATTATCTCTGCCTTCTGCTCTGTGGGCAAAGCAGAAAATTTGAGAACCAACTGTTCTACATAAAACAGTTTCAGGCAGAGTTCAGATAGAGGGCTCTCAGAGGATGCTTTTGTTTTCCTGGGACATTTTTAGGAGAAAGGATGTAAGGCTTCGGTAAGGCGACCGGCCTCCACGGCCCCCCCCCCGGCCCCCACTATTTCACCTGTCCAGCCGGGAGGTAGGGCAGCAGGAGGCAGACCTCAGTTCAGACCGTCCCCTCACACTTACCCACTGTGTAATCTCGAATATAAACTCACATTTCGGTTTAGCGTTTCTTGCTGCCCTTCACTTGGGAGTCACCGGTAGGCTGTCGGCCTCAGGGGGGCCAGTGGTGGGGGCTAATAGGGCTGAGGTATACAAAACAAGAAGGCTCTGAGCAGGCTTCTCACATTTGCCGAACTTGTAAATCATTCTGGGATCCCGTGAAAAGGCCTATTTCGGTGCAGGAGGTCTGAGGTGAGCCTGAGACTTGGCATTTCTTTTCTTTTCTTTTTTTTTTTTTTTAAAGATTTTATTTATTTATTTGACAGATAGAGATCACAAGTAGGGCAGAGAAGCAGGCAGAGAGAGAGGAGGAGGCAGGCTCCCTGCTGAGCAGAGAGCCCAATGTGGGGCTCGATCCCAGGACCCTGAGATCATGACCTGAGCTGAAGGCAGAGGCTTTAACCCACTGAGCCACCCAGGCGCCCCGAGACTTGGCATTTCTAACAGACTCCCAGGTGAGGTCAATGCTGCCTGTCCATGGACGACCACGCTCCAAGTCGAAACAATCTTTTTTTTTTTTAATCTTTTTCTCCTCTGAGTAGCAAGAATCTCTGAGGTGCTCCTCAGTTTTGCTGCAAACCAGGAGTGCCGTCGACAAAGTTAACTGGCAACTGTTTTCTTAGCCCTAGGAATAGAGGACAGTCCTCCGGCTCACCTAGCACTGATCATGCAGATGGGCAGAGAAGGCTTCCAGCCGTCAACAACTTTTTCCCGGTTCCTTCAACTATGAAGTGTGTCCGATAACATAAGAACTACTGAAGAAGGGGACAGAGGGGCGGGTCATCTGACTGTGTGGGCGGAGAGAGGTAATCAAGATCAAGGCTTCAGATGTACGAAGGAGAGGTGGCCCTTAAGGTTTAGGAATTACGGTTCCTTAAATCTCTTAGGAGTTTAACTGCTAAAGAAAGGCTTTTAGGTAGAAAACGAAAGGAGAATGTCTTTCCAAGAACAGTAGCTTTAAATTGTGTCAGAGTCCCCTGCAGGGTCTGTTAAAATGCAGATCACCTGGCCCCAGCCCAGAGTTTCTAATTCAGTCGGTTGGGGCGGGGCCTGAGAATTTGCCTGTTTAATGAGTTCCCAGCCGAACCTGAGGATCCCACTTTGATTAGCAGACTCGAGGCCCCAAAGGCCATAATCTCGAAGAGTGGGAAGCACGGAGCACAGTGCCAGCCCGTGCCACGTCTTCACATTCTAACCCTTCCGATCAGAGGGGCGTTGCCAGGAGGGCGAAATGTTTACGCAGAGCTGGTGGCTGGCGTTTGCAGTGTGAACTGGAGCTCCGAGTGTCTTGAGGTATTGGAAGGTCCTGTGAGGGTTAGGAAACGTGAGATGTGTAGCACCTACATATAGCTCTTTCCAGCGTGATGGGGTCCCCCAAGGACTGGGGCTCTCTAATCTGGCTGGTTGGCTAATCATCTGATGGGGCTTTTGAAAAATAGAGCCCCATCCCCCAGCTGCTTCCTGGGAGATCGGGGAGCAGCCAGGTGCGGGACTCCCCACGTGGAGTGGGGGAGCAGCCAGGTGCGCGGGACTCCCGTGTGGGGAGGGGCGAAGCACCAGCCGGGCATTAGGAGCTGCTCTCCTTTTTAATGATTCTCGGATTCGGCTCTGGTGATCACTCAGCAAGCAAATGATTCCCCAGCAGGAAATCAGATCCTTCATGGAGTGCATTTCCTCGCTGGATCCCTGAAGTCGTCGTCAATACATTCCGGCTGCATTTTCCAAAGGGCTTCATTTCCCATCCGAGGATGGCTTTCAGCCAGGACCATCTGGCCAAGGGGACCCATCTGCGATGAAGGCCCCATTAAGAACAGCGCTGGCCACAGCCACTCAGCCCCGATGACCAAACCCCAAAGAGAATACCTCTCAGGCAAACTCAGGGTCAGGTTCAAATTGAGGCAATTCTTTAGATAAGGAGCTGCAAGGAGAAGTGTTCATCATACCCGGATTTGAGGCGTGCCGGCCTCCCCGGGGTTCCCTGGTTCACCAGCAGATGCTCAGAGAGGGTCCCTGGGCACCATGCTCGGTGCCAGGTGAGCTTGATAAAGGGGGCTTGGGAACAGTCCCTGCTCTTATGTTACCTGTGGTCAGGAAAAGACAGACACTTAATTGCCTACCTGTCAGCACAGAACCCCGAGAACAGCGTGTGTCTAGAGTAGACCTCCTGTCACGCATCCTCCCTTGCCCGGCGAGGGGTGCCCCCTCTTCCCCCCTGAGGCATAAGCCAAGTGAGGGCCCTCCCAGGAAGGGCCAGGAACGCAGCGCTGTGCGGTGGAACTGTTTCTGCGGGACTGATGGCTGACAGCTGTTTGCCCCCGCCTCTGCGCTGCGTGCGGGGGCGGGGGGTGGGGGGGGGATGCCTCTGAGGTCAGGGCAGCCACAGTGGCTCTCCCACCTTGGTGGGCATCAGAATCACCTGGAGGGCTTGTTAAAAACAGGTCGGTGGGCCTCACTTGCCGTTCTGATCCTGGAGGTCTAGGATGGGGCCAGAGGATTTCTAACAAGTTCCCAAGTAAGGCTGAAGCTCATGGGCCCCAGGCCACACTTGAAGAACCAGAGGGCTAGCATGTGAGCATGGCCATCACAGCTTCCCCAGGGACAGATGGAGGGAGGCAGGAGCACTTCACAGCTATGCTGCTGACCCAGGCGAGAGAAGATGGGACTCTGAAACGGGCCACAGCCGTGGGACTAGAGAATAGAGAGAGGGAGCTCAGGACATGTATGACAGTAGAATAGGTGGGCCAGGCCCAGTGAGGAGAGGACCCGGGAGGGGAGGGAGTAGCTGCAAGGATGGAAATGAGAGGACCGGAGATGGGAATGGGACCAGGAGAAGGGAGATGGGCTTGTCTCTTTGTGACCTGCTGGGTTTGTGGTTCGTGGAGACCTTCAGGTGGAAACGTGAAAAGGGTTGTTAAACTACTGTTCAAACCTCAGGAGAGAAATCCGAGCTGCAGGCCCAGATGTGGGGGACAGAGGTTTAAGCTAAAGCTGAGGAGTTAAGTAAGACTAGTTAAGGGCAGCTCCTAGAGGAGAGAGTGGTGAGGGCTGGGCAGAGAGAGAAAGAGGGGGCTGGCGTTGCTCCGAGGTGCAAGAAGCAAAGGGACAGACAGATGGTGTCACCAGAAAGGGGCAGAGCCAGATGTTGGAGCACCTCAAAAACTGACACATTGTGGGGACTCCTCAAAAGAACAATCCTCCCGAGTGTGGGTTGCGTTTGAGGTGAGAGTTGGAGGAACTGATCCACATATTTTGAAATAGCTTCTTAACTCCTCATTGTTTCTTAACTCCCCATTGACTTGGCCTGGGCAGTTTTCTTAGGCCTTGGTGACCCAGTGGCTTCACGGGTCCGCCATTTTGGTGGAACACGCATAAGCAAAAAGAAGCAGACCCTGAGAACACAGGTGGAGTGCAGCAGCCATGGTAGTAGGCTTCCTTCTCCAAAGAGCGTCAAAGTGAACAGTATGGTAGTTTGGGGTGAAGCTGGGGGCCCATTTTTCCACCTCTAAGCTAGCCTCCAGGGAGAAAAGACACTGAATTCCTCTTCCTTCCTCCCACCCCATTTGATACCAATCTGGACCCCCTCTCACATCCCCCTCCCCCCCAGGACCTTGAAGCCACTGGTTTTACAAGGTTAAAAAGGATTCTGACTGCTTGTTTTGTGCAATTTGTACGAGAATGCTACAGAAAGAATTGATTTCTATGAACTAACTAAGCCCGCCAGGTGATAATTGTATATTTTATAGTTTGCTTTTTTAAATTGTGAGGCTTTTGAGTCCTCTGGGTCTTCACAATCCCTAAGAACACAGAGAAAGTCCGAAAATCTCTAAATAAGGCCGATGAGTCCGGGTCAGGCACTTCCTGGCCCCTCTGGTTGCCACCAGCTATTAGGAGCTTTGGGCAAGAACACACACCGACTTGTTGCTCTGTCTTTGCAGTTCTGTGCGGAGTTAAACCAGCCTATCCTGCCCAACATCCGCAAGTGGAAGGGGCCCCGGGGATGCTGGAAGGCCGTTGTTGCTGAGATACCCTCCACTCAGCTCCAGAAGGTACCCTCCCTCTGCAAAACCTGGATTTTGTCTGCATCTTACTGAAACCTCCTTTTTCCCTAATCACAGGCATTTGCAAATTTCCTTTGCCAGCATCCTTGATGCAATTCTGTGTTTCTGCACATTTCTTAGCTCTTTGCCATTCATTTCAAAATGCCCTGGTTCCTGTTTCATGTTTAGATCAGGAATGGACCGCTGCCCAGACGGAAATGGGAGTTTAGGGTGTTGGGAGGAGAGGAGAAATCCTGTCTGGAAGCCAAGGCTGCAAAAGGGGTATTTCTGTCCTTTGTCCTCTTAATCCCGTCTCCACAGTTCCATCCTCTGCCAAGTTTGTGGAGAGCCCATTGTTCATTGAGTGAAAACTTCAGATTTGCTCAATTCATACACAAAGCATTTGCTTTCAGTGGTAGAAATTGTGCGCATGGAAATGTTCTGTGGACATTTTGAGCAGATTCTCATTTTGAATGTTCTTTGCTGGCATTTCCCCTGTGGCTGTGGGTAAATTGTGGAAAGGGTACCTGTCACTCGTACAGGTAGATTCACGGCCGGTTTTCACTCACTTGGAATGTCTGATATTAATGGGGTTTTGATCTTAAAATGGACTTCCAATAGTTCATCATGAGTCAGAAATTGTCAGTACATAGTTTTTCTATAAATGCGCATGTCGTATTTTTTTTTCTTTCTAGTATACCTCACATGTTTATAAATACACAGGAATAGCATTTATGTGAGCGATACTGAGACATGGGGCTTTTAAATTATACATACTGGGTTAGAACTATTTTATGGACATTAAGCTCTCATTTATGGACAATAAACTCTCTTTTTAAAGCTACTACTTAAAAATGTGATGTAAATCTGATTTCTCTGGGTTTTATGTTTAGGACTATAAATGGTTCCTATAGCTGGCAGCCGGTGTCTGTTTCCCCATAGGCTGGAAACTAAGTCAAACTGGGAGTTATCTAGTCTTTACCTCTGTAGCCCATGGCTGTCCTTTCTCAGTCCATATAGAAATAATTCCACCTTGCCTTTTTTTAAGGAAAAAATAGCATGTTATCCGTACATAGGGTCACAAGGCTCTCCTAGTCCCTCTATTTATCCGCTGAGAAATTGTTAGAAATGTTCCCACGTGCCAGGCACTGTGCCACATGCCAGATACACATCAGTGAAAAACACAGACCCAGGGACCCAGGCCTGCCTGTTTGTAGTCCTCGCAAGTCCAGGGGGAGAATCCATGCTGAGCTGATGGGGCCCCTCCCTCAGGAGCTCACAGCCGGCTGGAGGCACAAGGTGGGAAACCCTACTCCAGGTCAGGGTGGCAAGGCTGTTGGAGGGTGGTGTGCAATTGGAGGGAGACCCATGTTCAAGCCACTGCAACTTCTCAGCCTCAATTCCTTCATCTCTAAAACGGGAGCAGTTTTTACTTCCTTCAGCCAGTCACTGGGTAGTATAGGATTTATTGAAATGCCCCATTAACTGAACACAGGCCAGGCCTGGCGGGGCCGGCAGGAGGTGGCAGGCTGGCCGGGCTGTGCCAGCTAGAAGTCCATGCACCTGTCTCGGGGAGCGGCTGGCTCATCAGGGCCTTGCTGCCATGGAGGCTGGAGGGCCTCGTGGGGACAAATCTCCCGGTCTCTCAAAAGATGCAGATATCTAGATTTTAATGTGAATTTTCCAGACTTTTAAATATGGACAGATAAGCGAAAATGTTTTTAAATGCTGTTGAACAAATTGAATCTGTGAGTTGCACACATTCCACCTCTACCTGGACAACCATGGGCAAGTGGCCATGGCAAACATCGTTTCCCGAATGCCTAAAATGGCATCAGGTACCTCTGTTCGGGTCTCCAGTCCTCGCCCTACAGCCAGAGGGGCGTCTCTGTAGATGAGAAAACGGAGCTCTGTAAGACTGAACGATTTGCCCCAAGGTCCTCCGGTGGCCACATGGTGGGGTCAGGCTGGCACCCAGCTGTCGCCGTGGTTCTAACGGGATCTCCGGCTGCCCCGGAAGGGGGTGGGCCAGTTCTTCCCGAGCCAGGGGCTGCCTGGGTCCAGGGGATCGGGAGAGGCTCCCAGAAATGCCGGTGCTCACACAGGTGAGCAGGTGTGAAGGGTGGACAGAACAGGCAGGTGCCTGGCTGGCGGGTTCCTCGGGCAGGGGCTAGGGTGCACCGGGAGCCACGGGAGGGTCTGAAGCGGGGCTGAGCACCTGTGTCCTACCTTGTTTGGGGATCGGTAGATGGGAAGACGACCCTCCACAGCAGAAGGGGCAAATCCCATTTCTGTCACTATATACCCAAGGAGACAAGTTTAGAAAAACAGAGGGCTCCGTGCCCCCACGGTGGAGTGACACAGGTGGCCCCGAGATCCGGGTCATCCAGTTCTTAAACTAGGGCTCTCTCCAGCGGGCAGGCAGGCCTGCGGTTCTAAATCTCAACATGCACAGTTTGCAAAACATGGTTGCCTGTTGATTCTTTCCCTCCTCACCTCGAGTTGGGCTAGTGGAGGTGCAGAGCCCAGCAAAGCATGGCGCTGGGACCGTGCGGTGTCGGGGACTCAGCAGAGGCCACTTAATGCTGTTCAGGGTTGCTGCCTCTCCTTCAGCAGTAAGTGTTGCTGGCCCCTCCAGCGATGCCACAGATCCTACTGCCCATCTCTGATCTCCTCCAGCTGCTGGGGTGGAGTGGGGAGAGGAAGCTTTTCCCTCTTTCCAGAAGGGACAGCAGCGAGAAGCAGACAGACTGACAATGGCCCATCTGTAGCGAGAGAAGGTGGCAGCTAGCACCAGGCCCCAGGACATTCCTGCCCCCCCCTTCGCTGACACTCACAGACCTCCATCTCGGGGCTGCAGGCTCCTGTGTGGGCCCCGTCCACCCGCAGAATGCCCTTGACCGGTTCTGAATCGTGGGTACTGCTAGCGCTGACCTGCATCCACCCAGCAAGTATTTATGGAGGATCCACGAGGTGCCAGGTACTGGTGATGGGAAGCTGCAGCTTATCAGTAAGCAAAGCCTAGCCTTTGGAGTCTTCTGCTTCATTCTCAACATTGCTGTTTACCAGCTGTGGGATTTTAGGGAAGTTACTGAACCTCTCTGAGCAGCTGAGTCCCTGCCTGGTGGAGAGGGGTACGAGTGTCCATCTCATGGGTTGTGATGATTAGGAAGATGACTCTCTGCTTAGTCTGGGCTTCCCCTCCCTTCACTCCCCAAAAGATAAGAGCCCCTCCCCCCTCGGCTACACCTAAAACAAATTGGTAGCATGGGAAATCTGGGGCAGCAGGCAGGGCGGAACATGCTGTGGCTTTTGGCGTATGCTTGTGTTTCAGAAACAGTCCCTGCGCATATGATCTCAGGACCCAGTGCAGAGTCCCCCTGCCTCCTCCCTGCTTCTCCTGCCTCTTCCCCCAGGTTGGGGCTGAGCCCTTCCACGAAGGAGACTGGTCTCCAAACTAAGTGATGCCTTTTCTTCTCCTGCAGGGGGCTGGGTTCTCTGGATTCCTGTGGGATGCCACGGCCGGTGTGGAGCTGAGAGACGCCAGCTCTCAGGAAAATTCGCCTGGTAATGGGCACGGGAAGCCGCTGGGGCCCAGCCCGTACCTTGCACGGTTCAAGGTACCATTTGTGTTGCTGTGAAGGTCTACTTCTAAAATGGGGTTGGGGGGGGTGGTGGTCCCGTTCTAAACTGTGATCCAGAGCTGCCTCATCTACTCTGTCCCACGGTCAGGTCAGCACATACTCTTGGGGTTCCCTTGGCTGATGAACCTGTCCAGGGCAGGAATGAAGAGGATTCTGGGGGACTCTGACAACTCTGGCGTCTGGGCAGGAAGGAGAGCAGGCGGCTGGTTCCCAAACCCAACACACATCAGAGTCACCTGGGGAGATTTTCTTAAAATCAGGGATTCCTGGGGCACCTGGGGGGCTCAGTCAGTTAAACAGCTGCCTTTGGCTCAGGTCATAATCCCAGGGTCCTGGAATTGAGCCCCACATCACGCTCCCTGCTCAGTAGAGAGCCTGCCTTTCCCTCTCCCTCTGTCTGCTGCTCTGCCTACTTGTGCTCTCTGTCCATCCCTCTGTCAAATGAATAAAATCCTTAAAAAATTCAGGGGTTCCTGGACCCCACCCCAAACACACGGAATTTCTGGGATAGGGCCCGGGATGGCCCATTTTTCAAAGACACCTTTAGGGCTTCTTCATCCCTCTGACATTTGGAAATCACTGGATTAGAGGACAGCAGCCCTTGTCTGGGGACCCCTTCTCCTGACTGTGGGGAAGGGGCTCACCTTCAAGGGGTCACTGGGTTCAGAGGGGATTCTAAAGGAGCTTCTGGGCTGTGGGGTCAGGGAGAACAGGGGGAACAGCAGGGAGACTGATCTGAGGGCTCTCTCTGATACTCCCCACCCCCATCCCGGGGGAGTGTACCTGAACAGCGAACACTCAGGAGGGAGAAGAGGCCGGCAGGTTACCCAGTCGGCACTCAGCTGACCTGAGACCCCGGGCACTTCCCAGTGAAATCACAGGGCAGGGTGGGAGTGGGTTCCCGGCACAGAGCCTAGCAAGCCACTGCTGGGTGTTTGAGCCCCCCCCTTCTGTGTGCTCCAGAGGGGCTCTGGAGCCTGAGCGTTCCCTCCAGCCACAGCGTGTTCTCTGGCAGCCCCTTGCTGGGGCAGCCCATGTTTGGGGCACCGCGTTGGCTCTGGTGGGGATCTAGCCCTAGCTCCTGCCCCTCGCTGCATGGCTGTTGGGGTTCTGTGTGCACCCACACACCTGGGGCGTCTGCAGGTTGTGCTTAGGAGACTGAGGTGGATAATCAGCCACTTACCATCTTTAGGTCCCCCTCACACCACACTGGGTTTCTCATTTATGTAAAGTGGTGATGCTTGCTCTGACCTGACGAGGCCACAGCCTGACCAACCAGTGTCTCTCACAGGCTGGCTGCTTCTAGTGGCCAATGAGAAAATGCTACCGTGTCCTCATTTGCTGGCCCAGATCCTTCAAAGTGCGTAGACAGGCCTTCAGCCCCCTGCCAGGCTGGATTTCCCAGCCTGTGGCCTCATGGTGATTCCTCTGTGGTCAGAGCCACCGCTGCTGAGAGCCGTCCAGGCTGGGGGGGATGGGGGTGGGCAAACCAGGGTCACATGTGTAAGATGAAACTGGCAGCCTCCACTTCCCAGGGGCTCCCCCTATACCCCCTTCCTCCCTAGCAGTGTTTAGTGTTTGTTGCCATGACAAACGGAAGGGTGGGATTGCCAAACCCTGAGCCGCTGAGCAATGCTGCCATACTCAGGAGACCAGCTCTGACTGCGTGTTCCTGTAACTGCCCGCCGCGGCACGCACCCTGGGGGTGCAGACTGGACATAGCCTGTGCTACCGAGATTCAGCCACCTTCCCCATTTGACACATCTGAAATCCGGAGAAAGTGAGCGTCAGGGCAGAGCAGTCTCTGGAGGGAAAAGAAGGCAGAGGGGTGGGTGGGCTGGGGAAGGAAGTGGGTCCCAGAAGAGGCTCCTGGCAGAGGGACCTCAGCCTGCCCTAGAGGGTAAAAACCCAGTCTTGGTTAACAACCAGCTGCTAGAACTGCCGCTGCCTCCTTCTCCGTCGTTGCTTAGAAGGAAAAAAACAAAAACCCAAACCTGACATTTCCAGATGTGCCTGGTTTTCCAGACCCCCAGCTGGAGTAGGGGATGTGATGTGGGGGTGGGGGTGGTGGTGGACTGACAAAACAAGATCGGTTTCGGTCCTCCGGGTGCCTCAGGAAAAAAATCCAACCCTGAACCACCTTAATGGGGGTGTAAGCCAGCCTGGTCTGCGTTCGCCGTTGTCGGCATGGAGCAAGAAGCTGTTGGTAAGTGAGGAGTCACGAACACGGGAAACAGGGACATCTAAGCCTGTGCCTGCTGCTTTGTCTCCTCTCGCCTCAGGTGGGAAGTAACGACTTGACCCTTGTGAACCTTCACCTGGCAGCCTTGATCCTGCCGGGGAGTGAGAATCTGAGCAGGAATCACAGCGACAGCCACCGCCTGGCCAGCTTTGTGCAGACCTTGCAGGAAACCCTGAAAGGTAGGAAATGCTCTTTCTCCGTGACTGGGCCCACAGCTCCCACTTCTGAAGGGCAGGCACGGAGTGGCCTCTTCCAAGCATCTCTTCCATCCCTTAGGCTGACCCGGCTGTCGGCAGTGGTGTATCTTGAGGGCACAGAAGACCACCATCCCTGGGCATGGTGACATCTGTCTCGGCGGGTCTACCACACATGTCCTGTGGTATCAGCTTTGGGGCCCTTCTAGCCTCCCTTTGATGGAAAGATTGTGGGGGGAGGAAGGGAGGATACCTTCCCTCGTGACCAGTCCTCCTGGTTCAGCTGCCCCCGTGGGGGTACCACCTGCAGATTCACACGTGCTCGTCTTGTGAGAGAGAGACCATGGGTGACAGGGGACTGGGGAAGTCCTGAAGAGCACATGTAGGCTTTTTCTTCCTGGTGGGATGCAGGTGACCCTGAAGGAGCTCTGGTGCTCTCAGCAAATCTGGTTGTTCATCTTTGCTCCTTCATAGTGGTAGGACCTGGACGAGCCACCCCACACCACTTGAAGCCTGTCTGGTCGGGGGATGGCCGGTGCTCACCTCCCAGGGGTGCCCGGTGGGCACGGTGACTGTCTGTGGATGAACCAGGCACATAGTAGGGGCTCAGCAGGCAAGAACTGACTCAGAAAATACCAGAACACTGAGAAGAGCAGAGCTTTGGGAGGGAGTTGGTTCTCTGGGTCCAAGCTCTGGCCCAGCCTTACAGAAAGTTCTTGTGTGCAGGGTTTACCAGGAAGGAAACGTTGACGCTGCTGTGAAGACTGGGCTGTTGTCAGCTTGGTGGGGTTCTTCAGAGCCCTGCCCTTCTCTAGGTGAGGGTTTCTGGCTGGAGTTCTGGAATTCTCTTCCATGCTCGCCGATATTCTCTAGTTTTCTAAGCCTACTGCATGCTAGATCAGTCCCTCACATGGGTGATTCATGAGCATCCGGCTATAAAAATAATTAGGTCATATTATAAATTTGCATCTTAAAAAGGTGTCTTGGTTGTAGTAAAGTATATCCGACATGACACTGACCGTCTTCACCATTTTTAAGTGTACGGTTCCGTGGTGTTAAATTCATTTACACAGTCTTATAACCACGCCCTCCATCCGTCTGCAGAACATTTTCTTCTTTCCAAACTGAAACTCTGTGCCCATTCAGCATGAACTCCTTGCTGCCCCCATCCTCAGTCCCTGGCGACCGCCCTTCTCCTTCCTGGCTCTGAATTGGGCTACACCAGGTACCTCTGCTAAGTTGGAATTGGGCAGTGTTTGTCCTTTTCTAGCTGGCTTCGCTTACATTAGGTCTTTATGGTTAATCCATCGTGTAGTCTGTGTCAGAGTTTCCTTCCTTTTTCAGGCCCGATACTATTTATTCTGTTGTCTGTCTCTACTGAATTTCCACTCGTTTATCCACTCGCTGGCTGATGGATCCCTGGGCAGCTTCAATCTTGTGGCTGTTGGGAGGAATGCTGCTCTGAACATTGATAGACAACTTACATTTGAACCAGGATGTGCTGTGGCCAACATTCTACTTAGGAGTTTGGGGGGCTAAAAAAAAAAGTTTAAGCCAAGATACCCCATCCAAGAAGCATCCCTGTGGGAAATTGTTCACACACAGCTGGTTTCTAACCTATTAAAAAGGATGACCTGATGGCTTTTAAAATCTGTGGACATTTCTATCATTCTCCACCTCAAGCCCTTCTTTGCCTGTATGTAGAAGCAGAAAGCGGGAATTCCGGTTCATAACTTCTCTGGTAATGTCTCACTGCTTCTTCCTGACACTTAGAGAGTAAGCAGGTCATTGTACCAAGCTGCCAAGGGGACTGTTGACCTACAGCCTGGCTCACCTTGGCTTGTCCAGGTATGGATGGTGACTCCTGTTCCCTGCGCCCTTGTGTTTCTGATATCCAGTGAACGGGTGACACAGCAGACCCAGGGGTTCTGGAAGCCCTCCAGCCTGCCCCAGGTGCAGGGGCAAATCCATTATTTGCAGAGGTGGCGGAGCTAAAACAAAGACAAAGCTTTTTATTCTACAGCCTTGCATCAGAGCAAACAGAAGCGATTTGATTAGCAAACTCTGGGCCTTTCTGCCTTTGTCTGGAATGTGTGTCTGGGTTGACATGAGCATGTGTGCCAGGCCTCTGTCAGAGTGTTCTTCTTTCAGACCCCCTGAGGCTCACTCTGTGAACTCTGTTAGACTGAAACACGGTGCGCGGTAATGCCTGGCATCTGGGTTGGACCATCCCTCAGTGGGGACCAGCTCCTGCTGTTGCCCCTGGCATTCTGCAAATCTGTCACTATCTGAGGAAATCAGCCCCAGGCATTCTCCCCTCACTCCTGAGAACCAAGGAGCCCATCCCTGGGAACCCCAGGCGGACGGTGTTCTCGGAGGGTTCAGGCCTCCTCTTCTCAGAGGCAAGGACCATGTTGATGTCCTCAGTGCCACCAATTTAACGGAAAGCAGAGAAGTCGTGGGGGACCCAGATGTGCCCATTCAGAAAAGGAGCTGTTATTTTCATTCTTGAAGTTACACAGAGCTGGGGTTTTTGACCTTTGACACCAGCGTCTCGCCTGGTTTCAGAATTGCCTTTTTGGCCCAGACTTCTTCAGGTGTGCATCCCAATGAACACTTCCTATTGTGAGTAATGTTCTGCCTCTGTTCTCCTAACCTTCAGTTTTTCTTGTCATTTAATAAATATAGCATCGTTCTTTCCTTTCAAAGAGTCCATCTGCATTCTGGGGTTTTCCTTACGCCTCATTCATGAGTTCACTGCATACGTGTTTATCGACTGTCTGCCAGGCAGCAGGCCCTGTTCCAGGCATGGGGGATTTTGTGACGAGCAACCACCCATGTCCCTGTGGCTCTGCTGTTTCTAGCGCTTTGTGAAGAGCCAGGGACTTGAGGGCTGGTCTAATGCATTGGAGCGAGCCATTCAGCCTCTCAGAGACTTAGCTCCTTACCTATGGAGAGGGGCCCGCACCAGGTGAGGCCTCTTGGATGGGCATTAGACCAGTCGGGTAGGAGTTCTGAGGTCTGCTTTCCTGTTGAGGTTGGCACTGATTTCTCAAGACAGCGAGAGCTTGCCCTGCTCTGGGCACCAAGGTTGTTGAGATGTGGCGTGGAGGTACCATCACACAGTGGGGCCGCGGGAGAGTCTTCCTTCCCCTTGGCCTCCAGCGGTGGGGGTGACCACTGCAGTGCCCGAGTGCCCTCTGCTGGTGGCTTGTGTTATTTCACTTCAGATTTCTTTGCCTCTAGCCATTATTGCTGCCACATATTCGCGTTCAAGAAAAAAATTTGTTGAGTGTCTCAGATACCTTTGGCTGTCATTCATGAACTGCTTTCCTCAAAGCCTCCCTTGCTAGTTAGGACGGAAACCCTGCTTCCCACAATAATGTGGCTTCCCTGAGGGAACCTGGAGACAGGAAGTGATGGTTAGGCAAAGATAATGGGAATCCAAGAGCCTAGCTGGGGTCCAGTGTCTTCTTGGAATGTCTGCTCCATCTGGGAAGTACTTTGTGATGATTCCACTTACTCTAGTGTACATCAAACAATGGTAGAAATACTCAAAGTACTGTAAAGAGAAAACATTTCTACTCTGGCCCTGTATTAGTCGGTTAGGGCCACCATAACAAAATACAGCAGTCTGGGTGGCTTAGACAATAGAAATGTATTTCCTCACAGTCCCGGAGGCTGGAAGTCTGAGAACAAGGTGTGGGCAGGGGTGGTTTCTCCTGAGGCCTCTCTCCTTGACATGTAGATGGCCACCATCTTGTATCTTTGCATGGTTTTCTCCACTGCGCCCAATGAACGTTTGTCAAGCTCTTATGAAATATCCAGTCAAGACCCTCAGGCTTTTTCTGCCACGAGATTTGGATCACATGAGCTGGAACAGGGATGATCTCTGCATCCTCTAGCTCCCCTTTTCCAGATGTGTTACTCATCTGCTCTTAAAGTCTTGTGAGCATGTTGGAGTTTTTGTTGTTGTTGTTTTGTTTTGTTTTTTGGGGTTTTTTTTTGTTTGTTGGTTGCACAAGGTATTTAGAAAAATTGGAAAAATGAGAACCAGATAGATGCACTCCTGACCCCACGGAGTCCAATCAGAGAATCGAGATCCCACTTTGTGGGCTGTGATCAGTTTTGTTTTGACCTCCCAGCACCTCTTAAATGCCTGCTTCTCTTTCTTTCCACCTGCAGGAGAAAAAGACATGATTGTTTTAGGGGACTTCGGCCAGGGTCCTGAGAGCAGTGACTGTGATATCTTGAGGAAAGAAAAATTCTACCACCTGGTCCCTGCGCACACCTTCACCAACATCAGCACCAAGAATCCCCAAGGCTCGAAGTCTCTAGACAACATCTGGATCAGTAAAAGCTTAAAGAAGGTCTTCACAGGTAAAGCAGAAGTCCCTCGGTCTTTCTCCTGCTCAGAAATGTTGTAAGAGAGACTTGTCCAAACTGATCGTCCCAGATCCTTTGGTTTGATGACTCTGGTCGGGAGTTCTCCTATGTCCTCTGTGGGTGATTTACAGGATTATATATGGTTTAGGCTCCTCTGTAACCATCATTCAAACAGCCACTCTGAGGAGTGAAGGGGGCCATGAAAATGGTGAAAAGGCATTCACTGATCTTCAGTAGGGGCAAACCTGGTTATAGGCCGGCAGAGTACCAGTTCTGAGAGGAGCCCATACCTTACTCTAATTTTAAGGACACTTGGTCATTTAGCAAGCATTCCTCAAGCCTCCTCATATTCAGGCACTATGTTGTGGCCTGTGGTTTCCTGAAGCGCTGTCGGTGCCCCAACGAGCTGCCATTGAGGACGAGCGGACACATCTCAGAGCATCGTGGTAGGATGGGAGACATGCTTTACCTGGACCTCATGAGGACCAGGGTATGGTGGGTAATCTCAGAGCAGCAAAGCAGCCCCAGGAGCCCCCAAACCAGTAGCCTGCCGAGCTGACTGTGGGCCAGGAAATATTAGTCAGAAACAGGGCAGTGATAGGCAGTGTCTTTTGATGAACAACAGAAACTGTGGTTCTCTGTCCTGCCTGGCCGCTTTGCTAAGTCCCAGCATGTTATCCATATTCTACTTCAGTGAGACATTTAAAATCTGTGAAAGCACCCATTTTGGAATTGGCCTGGGAGCACCTCCTGGGCAGCCAGCACTGAACTCCTCAGCAGAATTTCCAGTCCAGGGGCGCCTGGGTGGCTCAGTGGGTTAAAGCCTCTGCCTTCGGCTCAGGTCATGATCCCAGGATCCTGGGATAGAGCCTCGCATCGGGCTCTCTGCTCAGTGGGGAGCCTGCTTCCTCCTTTCTCTCTCTCTGCCTGTCTCTCTGCCTACTTGTGATCTCTATCTGTCAAATGAATAAAAAAAAAAAAAATCTTTAAAAAAAAAAAAAAAAGAAAAAAAAAAAAAAAGAATTTCCAGTCCAGGCTGCATCACCAGCTTCTTGCTCCTCTCTCTGGGTGTTGGTTTCCCGTTGGACTGTGTTGGGGGCGGGTCTGCAGGTAAAGGAATGGGTCTCAGGAGGAGTGGCAATCATCCAACTCAGTGAGACATGGTTTGTGGAAAGGCGCTGCTCGCCAGAGGCTGGCCCCAGGCTGCCTAGGCTGCCCAGGGTGCCAGGAGGGCATGCTGTCATCAAAAGAGAACACAGGGCCAGAAGGAAGTTAGAAATGATTTCATCGGCCTCCTTGCTGCGAAATTCTAGAAACTCAGGTGTGGGGAGGAGTGAAAGAACTGAATAGGCAATTTGTAGGACTTCTTTGGAAAAAATGTCACTGTGTACATGAGAAGACACTCAAACATCACTCATTGTCAGGGAAATGCAAATCAAAACAGCAATGAGATATCACGTCTTTGAGAGACATTTGACCCTGCGTCAGAAATTTATTCTTGTTGTTCAGATTAGAAGAGGTGTATGGTGAGGAGGAGGTCAACCATAGGCCGATGGGTATGGCAGTGAGTGGGAGGCCCAGCCTCCGGGGGACTTCGGTGCCTACACAGTAAGCCTTCGCTTGTCCAGAAGATCACATTGGCCAAAACCTGTTGTTTGCGCCGGCAAGCTGGGTGTCTGAGGGGTATTAACCAGGCATCCTGGCTCCCCACTGCAGCAGAGTTCTCCACCCACCGGTCCATGGCCCCAGCCAGCCCCAGGCCTGATCCCAGGGTCTCTCTTCCCTCTCCCTCCAGGTCACTGGGCCGTAGTGAGAGAAGGCCTCACGAACCCTTGGATTCCCGATAACTGGTCCTGGGGCGGAGTGGCTTCTGAGCACTGCCCCGTGCTTGCTGAGTTTTATGCTGAAAAGGATTGGAACAAGAAGGAAGGCCCTCGGAACGGCAACGGGGTCACCTTGGAGCGAAGTGAAGCCAACGTTAAGCACGAGCGATGACGGCACCCAGAGGTCTCTCCACCTCTGAGTCTGGAGGGCCCCAGGCAGGGGAATCCACCCTTCCAGGTGAAGACGCGGAGCCAGAACTGCATCATGGTCTTGGGCCTGACAACACTAGCCCCTGGGCCTCGACCTGCCTGCCTTCTCTGTGGACGTTCTTGGACCTCTCATGGGGGAGGTCCCATCAGAAGCACAGTGGGGGACCCAGATTTCTTGTAATCTGGGGATACCATCCACCCCTGCAGATGCAGGCTGGCCGGCCGCCGCCCCTGGGTGGCGGCATGCACAGAACTGTGACAGGGCTGATGGGGCCGGAGAGGTTGGTCTTAGGCTGCTAGGCCGGGTCTGAGCCGTGCCAGAAGCGCTCGTCTCTGACCACCGGTCCATGACGCTCTGGCTGCAGACTGCATAAAGGTTTTAACTGTGACTGAGCTGAGCACTCTTCTCAGATATTTTGAGTGGTGATTTTTAGTTTTGTTTTGAAAAAAATAAACAGAGATGAACGTGCCTGGTTGCAGTGAACGTCCCAGGGGTGGGTCCCCTGCCTACGGGTGTTTTGTGCACCTCTGTGAGGCTGTTGTCCAGGCAACTGCTCGATTACACCCCCTACTTTGCAGAGATGCCTCCCACACCCCTGTCGACCCCCTGAGTTTACTATAAAATCTTCCTATGACCTTCTCCCTCCCAGCCTGTTTTCTGTCTTCTGACCCCTGAGCGTCATTTGTGTCTCTGGCCATTCAGTGTCGGTTCCCTGCACTGGGCAAGAATTCCAGAATGATCCTCTTTCCTCCCTCCCTCCCCACCCACTTCAATTTTCAGTCCGGTTCCTAGCCCAGAGCTGCCCTACGGTGATTCTGAGGACTGTTGATTCTAGATCCACAGGAAGCTAAGCCTGTGTGTATTGAGGGAGGCTTCATTTTTGTGGGGGTTGGGGGCGGGGGCAGGGAGATGAGCCCATGTTAACAGCCACAAGGTATCCCTTCCTTTGCTGGCATGGTTCTCCCTTAGGTCTCCTGTGAGACCAGATTATAACACCCATTTCCAAAGAAACCGAGGCTTAGAACACTTAACCTCCTGCAGGTCGCATAACCGGTAAGTAGATGGGATTCAAACCCAGCCCGAGAGCCCGTGCCCACATGTCCAGTCTGTGCTTGCCAGCACCAATGCCCCGAAGGCAACAACACTGATAGCGAATGTGTGAGTCCTGAGCCTGAATGATAAGTTGTTCCAGATCACCACAGAAGCCAAGGGTTTATTCCTCCCTCCACGCTGAAAACCCAGTGTGGACCAGTACCCAGAAACTGCTGTCACCACACAGTGTGAACCCAGTGGCTGGGGCTGGGGCCAGATGCAGTGACAGACGCCTGTTTCCACCAATGACCGTCTTTTGGACCAGCCGGCTGCAAGGAGCGTCACTGATCGTGGGCCCAGGAAGGAGGTCCTCCAGGTACTCTGGGGGTGCCTGGGCTTTGGCCGGGCCTCTCCAAGGGACCAACTCCAGTGGGGGAGGTGGGGTGAGTAGTGCCTCTCTCTTGGGCTTAGGCTGTGCCACTGGAGACATGAATGAGCCTGGACCAAAAGCACTCAAGTTAGAAGGAAAGGTCATGGCAGGAAGGAAAGGATGCTTCCCAGCAAAGCAGACCATTTTTTGTTGCCTCATCTAAAGAGCAGACTTCACCAGGATTCACCAGCCAGCTGCCCCAAATCCTTTTGGCCAGATTGGCTTTTGCACCAAAACTATGGAAAGACAAGTCTTACGTGAAAGTAAAGGAAAAGAAATCCAATTAAATGACCTCACTGAAGGTCACTCCGTTTGAGGCAGGGAGGGAGGGGGCGTGGAGTGGAAGGCAGCAGCCACATCTCAGACACAGAGTAGGTCCTGGCTTTGGCTCCTCACATTCAAGCAGTTGCTTGGAAGGGCTGTCTGCAGGGAGGGGGCACTGCCCGCAGCGGGGCAGGCCTGTCTGCAGAGGGAGCTGCTGTTCTAGCCACAGACTTCTTGGTTTTTGCTTTAGGGGGGATGGTTTTGACTTGGGTTTTATTTTGCTTTGCTTTTTTTCTTGGTTTTTTTTTTTTTTTTTTTTTTTTTTTTTTGCCATCTTTAATTAATAGATGTTATTTTCAGGAGTGGTTTTAGGTTGGTAAGGAACCAGAGCAGAAAGCACAGAGTTCCCACACTCGCGGTGCGGTAGTTTTCCCTGTTGTTAGCCTTAGTGTGGTGTACTCGCTACCACTGAGGAACCAGGACTGATACGTTATTATTAACTGAAGTCCATAGTTTAAGGTTCACTTTTTGTACATTCCATGGGTTTCAACAAACGTATAAAGACATATATCCACTTTTCTCTGATCTAAAAATCCTCCGTGCTCTGCCTGTTCATCACCACCCCCCCCCCGCCCCGCCCCAGCAACCGCTGGTCCTTCTACTGTCTCCCTGGTTTTGCCTTTTCTAGAAGGCCATATAGTTGCAATCAGTCTATAGCCTTTTCCAGTTGGCTTGTCTTAGCAACCTGCATTTACAGTTCCTCTGTGTCTCTTCGTGGCCTGATAGCTCTTTTCCTGTTATTGCTGAACCACAGTCCATTGGATGGACTTTATCTGATCCCCACCCCTTGGACTCTTTCTAAATCCTCACTTTCTCCAGACTTCCCTCCCACCCCATCCCCAGCTCTGTCCTCAGATGGGACATTTCTCTCCCATTCTTCCTTTCCTTCCCTCTCCATTCTTTCCTTCCTTCCCCTGCTTTCCAGGATTGTTCGAGAAGGGCCCTACTGCAAACCCACTTTGTTGGAAAAGCCCAGTTGGAAAAGCCCTGATGCACAACGGTTTCTGGCAGGTGGGTTTGGGCAGGAGATGTGAAGGAATTACGTGCTAGGGACCCGCAAAGTCCCAGGGGACAAGTGGAAGCTCTGCCATCCTCCCTGGGTCCCTCTATCCTGGAGCACCACAGGCAACCACAGCCCTTCCCCTCCTGCCCCAGTGGAACCTTCCTCTCATGACCATTGTCCCACAGAGATGCTGTGATCAGAGAGCTCCCCTCCTCTCTCTGCGCAGGAGCCTGTCAGCAGGGCCCTGGGGACCATCTCTCCATTCCGCTGCACCAGCCCCATCCCTCACTGTCCCCAGACTTAGCGGCAGAAGGTGGGGGCAGACAGAAGCCCTTCCGTGCTACAAATAATTGGCTCCAGGCTAGGACTCCCTCACTACTGCTTGGAAGATGTCAAAGGAAGCAAAATAGGCATGGCCCTCAAGAGCGGGCTGTATTCTTCCAGAGCCAGAGGGATGTCCTTTACTTCTTTGTGTTTCTTTAGATCTAAGAGTTGAGTTCTCCCCGGATGCTCCCGTGCAGACAGGAGTGAGTGAGAACCCCGCCTGGCAGGAGTCTCCGCCGTCTGTGGGATTGGGAGGTGAGTGCCCATGGCGTGAGAATGCCAAGGGGTCTGCCTGCAAAGGAAAGGAATTCATAGCTTCAGCAGCACTCAGTAATCTTAAACTGGCTCTTGCTTATAAATAATCCCTGTCCACACTTACTGGCTCCTTACTGTCCCAAGCACTTGACACTTGTAACTGCTTTATTTCTCAGAAAGGTTCAGTGAGGTTGGTTCTACTGTCCGTGTTCCTCCTGCAGATGAAGGAGCTAAGGGACTGAGAAGGGAAGACAGGAGGGGCTCTGGTTTCCCTGGGATAAGGAGGACGTTTGGTCTGGGACATGTCGAGCAGACACAGAGGGCTGTGGAAAATAAGTGGCCTTGACAAAGGCAGGTGGGACTAATGCCAAAGGGACAGGCCAGGGAGATTTTGCCTGGTCTTCCAGCTTCCTGGAAACCACCTTGGAGGCTGAGTAGCCAAGGGTGACCTAGGCATTGGTGTTACCCCAGCAGCACACAGACTGAGGAAAGCACGTGGGAGAGCCCCAGGGGTGGCCAGGTCCCCTCACCACTGCAGGCCAAGGGTGCAGGTGCAGGACAAGCTTTGAAGGCCGTGGGGTGGTCTGGGGCATCCTAGGACCTCTGACTCTTGCCTCCTAGGGTGTCTCCAGCTCCTCCCTTTTTCTCTGATGGGTGCCTGTGGCCTGTTTGGGTTTGGTAACATGGACAGTTCAGGCCCATTAGAGCAATGAAGTTCAAATGTCTGTGAAAGAGCATCGGGAAGAAGGGCTTTGTCTCCACAGCACCATGTCCTTGGGTGGCAGTCGTTCCCAGTGGCCGGGGAAGGAGGGACAAGAGGGAGAGAGACAAAGCCTCTGAAGACCTTCCGGTCTGCTTGTGCCTTCCCGAGTCTGAGGTCAAACCATATGAGGCAGGTTTCCCTTGGTGCTTGTGGTTGTGGGATGTTTAACAGTTAGTGTCTACTGAGTGGGCTGGGCTCCAATCAATGGGCAGTGTTGGGAGAGGGACATGCCTAGGCACCCTGCTGACCTCCATTATGGTGAGTCATTTAAGTGTATGTGGGGGGGATGTGAGCAGCAAGGACTCAGGTTTTACTGTGATGAGCGAGCACAATTGGCCGGCATTGTGTGATCACATAGAAGCCACCGCCTTGGACAGAGCCTGACTTTGCAGCTGGAGGAAGGTGTCTGGCCCCTGGGCCCAGGCCCATGTGTTTCCCGTGGCAGTTTCTTCCTTCTGGACTCTGAGAGGCTGAGGTGGTGGTTTTAAACAGAGATCCCAGAGACGGTTTTCTCTGGAAAGAAGGGCCAACAGGATACTGTCCCTGTTCACTGCTTTAAGGAATCTATGAATTTTCCTGGCTAGAAAAATCCACCCCACTCCCCCACCACTAACTCTAAAACCCAAGGCCAGTGAGTGAGGAAATGCCAGGATGAGGCCAGCTATATCACAAATTTGCTGGGAGCTAGCAGCCACACTGAACTGCATTTCCCGGGCCTTCCCTTTACTTTTTGTTCTAAAGTGTTCTGACTGTGTTGTGGAACAAGAACAATCACTTACTGGGGCAGTGGACCTCCCACTCTGGTACATGGAAGGATCACCCAGGAGCTTTCTGGCAAGCAGTTTCCTTAGCCCTAACCCAGGGAGTCGGAGAATAGAGCGCTGATAGGTCTGGCCTGTGACCCAGCAGAATCAATGAAGGTGCCCTGAGTCTCACCCTTTGAGAAACATCAGTGTTGTTGGGGCGGGGGGAGGGGGACTTTAAGTGCCTAGAAATGTGCCTGAGCCTCCTATACATAATACTAAAGATAGGACATCAAGAAGAAATGTTGATTAGGGTAGTTGATTAGGATTTCAGTGTGGCTTTTAATGACTAGGTAAGAGATTCCTTCAGTGGGGACAGTAACTGTGACTAGTACCAAGTCTCTGTAGGAGATCAGCGGGAGCTGAGCAAGCGAAGGCTCAGAGTTTACAGGCAGCAGAAGCATTGTTACTGTGACTGTTGGATTAAGTGTCTGAGCCCTGGGCTTGCTGATGTCGCCAGGGTCTTTTCATGACTTTAATTACTGAACACAAGACCAGG